TGAGCCAGAACACCTAGCCCTGCCTTTCCTTCCCAGTGCATGTTTCTTCTGGGTCCACAGTCATGAGCAAGTCTCAGAATTCAAAACAACAACGTCCCTTGTACCCATCTCTCCCCTATGGCTGCTGTTGTTTTTTCACAGGAAGTCTCTCTAAAGAGTAGACTCACATGTGTTCTCTGTACTTCTTTGCTTATTACTCATTCTTTGATTCTCTCTGGTTTATCTCCTCCCACTCCACGGCAAGTGTTTTAATCTGGGTCAGTAACAATAAAACCCTCCTAATTTACAAATCTAACATACTTCTTCATCCTCTTTTACTTGAACTCTCTATGGCTTTTTGGTAACCATTTCTGCCTCTACTAAAGCCCTTCTCCTGTGACTTCTCTGGTATCTTCATCACCCAGCTCCCACCTCTCTAGCTACTTACCCCCCCCCACTTTTTTTTTTAAGATTTATGTATTTGAAAGAACCATGACAGAAAGAGAGGAGAGAGGAGAGAGGAGAGAGGAGAGAAGAGAGAGGAGAGAGGAGAGAGGAGAGGGGAGAGGGGAGAGAGGAGAGAGGAGAGAGGGGAGAGAGGAGAGAGAGAGAGAGACATCTTTCATCAGCTGGTTCACTCCCTAAATGGCTGCAATAGCTAGGTCTGCGTCAGAGAGGAGCCAGGAGCCAGGAACCCCATCCAGTCCCACACATGGGTGACATCTTCAGCTACCTTTGCAGGTGCATCAGCAAGGAGCTGGATCAGAAGCAGGGCAGCTGGGACTCTGATATCGGATGCCAGCATGTCAGGTAAGCAGGAGGCTCAGCGCTCTGTGAGGGCCTCTCTGGCTCCTTGTCCTCCATGTCCTACAGGAGTGCCTCCTCCCGTCTCTACCTCCTAAGCTCTGGCTTCTTCAGGGCACTCTCCTCCCTCCCTCTTCTCTTCCCTGTACACTCTCCTCCTACATGGTTACTTCCATTCAGAATGAAACTTTTTTTTAAGATGTATTTATTTGAAAGGCAGAGAGAGAGAGAGAAAGAGAGAGAGAAAGATCTTTGATCCACTGGTTCACTCCCCAAATGGCTGCAACAGTTGGAGCTGAGCCAATCCGAAGCCAGGAACCAGGAGCTTCTTCTGGGTCTCCCAAGTGGGTGCAGGGGTCCAAGGACTTGGGCCATCTTCTACTGCTTTCCCAGGCCATAGCAGAGAGCTGGATTGGAAGTGAAGCAGCCAGAACATGAACCTGCGCCCACATGGGATGCTGGCACTGCAGGAGGAGGTTTAGTCTATATGCCACAGTGTCAGCCCCAGATGAAAACTTCTTGAGAGTTGAAAATCAACTATATTTCTCACTGAAGGACAGATGAGTCAAAGTTGCTCTGGTAAAATATCTTTCCTGCTGGGTCAAGCACTTCATCATAGGTTGAATTGTACACCCACTACCAGGACCACCACCACCAATATGTTGAATCCCTAACCCCCAGTACCTGTGAATGTGACCATATTTAGATATAGGACCTTTAAAGAGATGGTCAAGTGAGATGAGGACCTAAGATGGGCTCTCATCTAACATAACGTAGTGACATTAGAAGAAGAGACACAGACGCATGTGACGATCGAGGTAAAGACTGGAGTGATGCATTGTCCAATCAAGGAACACCAAAGAACCATAATGTGTCCTGAGGCTAGAAAGAGGCAAGGTAGCATTCACTCCTGTAGGTCCCACAGGGACAATGGTTCTGCTAGCATCTTGATTTTGGACTTCCATCCTCCGGAAGTGTGGAACAATATGTGTCTACTATTTTAAGCCCCTTGGTTTGTTGTACTTTGTTACAAGGAAGTATCCTAGGAAACTAGCAACCTTCATCATTCTGCTGCTCCTAATCTAAACTTCCAATTATAACTTGCACCTTTTTAAGAATATTTTTGCCCCGGTGTGGGTGTGTGGTGCAGCATTTAAGATGCTGTGTGTTACGCCTGCATCCCATGTTGAGTGCCTGAGCTTGCACTCCAGCTCCGCTACTGATCCCTCTTCCTGCTAATGTGCTCTGTGCACAGGAAACTGGTGATGACCCAAATACTTGGGTCCCTACCACCCTCATGAAAAACTCAGATGGTGTTCCAAGCTCTTGGCTTTGGCCTGGCCCAGCCTCAGCTGTTGTGAGAATTTGGAGAGTGAACCAGTGGATATAAGATCTTTATCTGTCTCTGTCTCTGCCTTTCTTTTTTTTTTTTTTTTTTGACAGGCAGAGTGGACAGTGAGAGAGAGAGACAGAGAGAAAGGTCTTCCTTTGCCGTTGGTTCACCCTCCAATGGCCGCCGCGGCCAGCATGCTGTAGCCGGCGCACCGCGCTGATCTGATGGCAGGAGCCAGATACTCATCCTGGTCTCCCATGGGGTTCAGGGCCCAAGCACTTGGGCCATCCTCCACTGCACTCCCTGGCCACAGCAGAGAGCTGGCCTGGAAGAGGGGCAACCGGGACAGAATCCGGCGCCCCGACCGGGACTAGAACCCGGTGTGCTGGCAAGGCGGAGGATTATCCTAGTGAGCCGCGGCACCGGCCCTGTCTCTCTGCCTTTCAAATAAAATAAAAATAAATTTAAAAACAGAGAATATTTTGCTTGTATCTTACCACTAGTTCAGTATTTCTCCGGTTTTTAAAATATCACAGGCCAATTTTTTTATTTTTAATTTTAATTTTTTATTTTTAATTTTAAGACCAACATTAGGCTTGAAATTTTAAAATTTTCTCATAATGTTTTGCTATTAGGGCTTTGGGGAAAAATACTACCATCTAAATATTGAATTCTCAGAATCAAGTACAGTTTTCTAAATGAAATACTTTTGGTCTTAGGAAAAGCTCACTGCTTTTGTCCCAATTTTTCCAGTTTTGTTTCAGGTCCATAAAAACTAGGGAAATATTTAAGGCTTATGTTACATAAATGACAAAGAAAAATATTAATGAATAAGTGTCGTTTGAATGAACAACACTCTGTTCCCATCTTCCTCCCTTCCCAAATTATCTTTGAACATATGAAATTGGGATAATAATTGGTGACAATCAGAATTGGTAAGAAACTGAAGCCTGAAAGAATAGTAAGAATTTCTTATTAAAAAAGTAGAGAATTATCTCTCCAAAACAAACTTAGATGGATAAAAAGGCAGAGGCAGCCTGAAGCTGGGGGAACGGTGAGTTAGGCAGAGGAGAAAAACTGAAAGCCAGCGCCGTGGCTCACTAGGCTAATCCTCCGCCTTGCGGCACCGGCACACCGGGTTCTAGTCCCCATTGGGGCACCGGATTCTGTCGCGGTTGCCCCTCTTCCAGGCCAGCTCTCTGCTATGGCCCAGGAGTGCAGTGGAGGATAGCCCAAGTCTTTGGGCCCTGCACCCGCATGGAAGACCAGGGGAAGCAACTGGCTCCTGGCTTCGGATCAGCGTGATGTGACTGGCACATCACGCCGGCTGCGGCGGCCATTGGAGAGTGAACCAACGGAAAAAGGAAGACCTTTCTCTCTGTCTCTCTCTCTCACTGTCCACTCTGCCTTTCAAAAAAACAAAACAAAACAAAACAAAACAAAAAAAAAAAACAAACCTGAAAATGATGAGAGTAGGAAAAAGGGATTTTAGGCAATATGCTATAGGTCCTGTGTACTCCTGCCTTTCCATAGCTTCCTGAGAATCTTAGGCGTTCTTGTATCTCTTTTATAAAATTCTCTTGTGCATATTTAAGTATATTATGTAATGTTACTGGATACATATAGTAACAAGGTTACTACAATGAAGCAAATTAACATATCCATCATCTCACAGAGTTGCTTTTAGTGTGTGTGGCAAGAGCAGATAAAATACACTCGCTTGGCAGGAATCTCGCCTACACTACCTAATGTAACAGTATGTATCTCTTTGAATGTGATTCCGTGCAGAATCCCAAGGCAAGTTCGTTTTGTTAAGGGTTTCATGACTGCTGGCAGAGACAGTGTGGTACAGTGGTTAGGCTGGGTGTGTGTGTGTGTGTGTGTGTGTGTGCTGGAATCAGACCTGCGTTTGAATCCTGGCTCCAGTCCTTTTTCTCTTTAGAAAATTAAGAAGCAGGGAGACAGAGGCAGAAGCGGGGGTGTCGGGTGGGGAATGGGTGAGAGAGCGCTCTGGGGCTGGTTCACTGCCCAAATGCCTGCATCCAGAGCCGGGAGCCAGGAGCCAGGAACTCAATCCAGGTCCGCGCGGGTGGCAGGGACCCAAGTACTTGAGCCATCACCGCTGCCTCCTTGGGTGCGCATTAGCCGGGAGCTGGATCAGAAGCGGAAGTGGACCTCGAACCCAAGCACTGACGTGAGACAAGGGCATCTTAAAACACCAGGCCAAGTGCCTGCCCCCAACCCTTTTTTCTGTGTGTCCGCGAGGTGACGGAGTTCCTTCTCTGTGCTCAGGGCCCCTCCAGGGAAGGGAGACAATGGAGTCTGCACACAGAAGGGCTTTAGGACCGTGGCTGGGTATGGAAGGCCGGTGGTTGTTAGCCAGTAATCCAACAGAAATCTACACCTAACCTGTCACCTGCTTAAACCAAAGGAAAAACACCCCACGGAGCTCACGGCGCCCAAGCCTCCAGAAGGGACTCCTCCACCCAAGACCCAACCCAGGGCCCGCTGACCCGGCGCCCTCGCCTGCGACGCCACACCTTCCCCGTCCCTGGCCCGCGCTGCCCGCGCTTGAGGCCTCGACCGGGACCTCCCTCAGGTAGTGTGTGGTAACCGTCCCGAGGGTCTGAACGGACAGAGGTCAAAGGACAATGCCGTCTCTTCCCCCGCAACTACCCCCACGGGAGGCTGCGGGTGCGGAGCGGACACTTGGTCGGTGGCACACGCCCTTCCACCCTAAAACGCGCTGCCCGGGGCCCCAGGACGGCCACGTCGCCCCGGGCAGGGGCAGGGCTCCCCGGCAGGCCGCCCAGCGGCCGGCGCCCGGTCACGTGACACCCCCTCGGCGCGCACAGCTGGAGGCGGGCCCCCCGCCCTCCCCCGGGAGCCGCGGCGCTGGAGCGGACGCGGAGCATTGTGGGCAGCGGGGCGGGGGTTGGGAAGATGGCGGCTCCCAGCCTCCTCAACTGGAGGCGGGTTTCCTCCTTCACGGGGCCGGTCCCCCGCGCCCGACACGGACACCGGGCCGTGGCCATACGGGAGCTGATGATCATCTTTGGAGGAGGCAACGAGGGCATCGCGGACGAGCTGCACGTCTACAACACCGGTAGGCGCGGCGACGGTTCCTCGGCCCCGCCTGCGGGAGCCGCTGAGGGGGAGGGGAGGCGAGGCGGCGGCTGCCGCGGCCCTGACAGCTGTCACCGCCCGGTCATGGCTTCCTCGGGCGGCGGGGATCGCGGCTCGGCCGGGTGTCTCGCGTCCCGCAGTGTCCTGGACGGCGGCTGTTTCCTCGCGGCCCGCGGGCGGAACGGACCCCAAGCGGGGCGCGCCGGTCCTCTGGCGGGCGGCCCCGGCCCCGGCCCCGGGTCCCCGCCCCAGCCCTGCGGGGAAACGTAGGCGACAGAGGCGGTCTCCACCCGCCGAGACCTCTCCCCGGGGTTTCAGTCCGGGGACCCGAGATCCTTTTCCTGTCAAAAAAGACAAAACCCAGTCTCTCCGAAGCTGCTCCGGGCCTGACTGCTTTAGGAGAAAGGGAGTCATGGGGGTGGGGAACGAGAGGCCTTCCGGTACTTTCACCCCGAATACCGCCCGGTGTCCGGCGGGGAGCGGTCCAGGGACCCCCCGGTTGGTAACGCTCTAGTCTGGCAGCCAAGTGGCTCGGGGGAAGACGGGCCTGGCGCCCGCACCGGCGGTGCCTGTGCCGACGCCGGGCCAGGCGGCGCGCTCTGGGCTGCTGCTCGGGGAGCCAGAGGGGCTGTCCTAGCTCGGACAGCACTGCCGATCCCAAGTGCCAAGGCCAGGGCGGGCCCTGCCCCCGGCACCTCCGTGCGGTTGCCAGGAGGCCATAGAAATGAAAAAGGAGATCCGATTTTCCCACTTGTAAATACTTCAGCTGTCACGAGAGATATGTTTCCATAGCGCGAGGGCCAACTACTGAATTCTGGGTCTGTTTCAGGACCAGTAACTTTTCTTGGACGCCGAGAGTGTAATCGCAAGTGGCCTTTTAAAAGTTAAAACACCTGAGTCCAGGAGATTTGATTTTTTTCACATTCGCCTCCTCCTGGCACCTCAGCATATAGTTAAAAAGCTATTTGACAGTTTGACACAATGTAAAGCCCTCGGCTTTGGACCAATTAGACCTGATTTGTATCTTAATGTCCCAGTTGCCCAGGATCAGCACTGATGTCACCGAGCTGTGTAAGCCTCAGATTTTCCATTTGTAAATGAAATGAAGGGAAGAGGCTTGTAAGAATTCAATGCTGCAGGTCGGTTTTTTTCTTTGTTCCCCAAAGCAGCACTGCTGACATTTTGGGCTGGATGATTGGAGGCTGCTCTGTTCATTGTAAGACATTTGGCTGCATCCCTGGCCTTTCCCCACCACATGCCAATCCCACCCCCATTTCCAGTTATGACAACTAAGAATGTTTCCAGACGGTGTCGGATGTCTCCTAGGGTGGGTAGGTGTGGGAGGAACCATCCCCCGTTGAGAACCACTGATAAAGCTGTCACATATGAAGTATATACTCTTAGACTGTGTTGCTTATTATAATTGGTTTATTTCACTTTGGTAACTAGTTACGAATCAGTGGTTCCTACCAGCTGTTAGAGGAGACATCCCTCCAGGCTGCGCTGCACATGGATTTGTCTGTGATGGCACCAGAATATTAGTGTTTGGGGGAATGGTTGAATATGGAAGATACAGCAATGAGCTGTATGAGTTACAAGTAAGTGCATTTACAATTATCCTTTCAACCTGAAGCTTTAATAAAGGTATTGCTCATAGTCCTTCAAATAATTGCAACTATTTTAGTAACATAATTAAATTAGTATAAGCTTCACATTTTATTCAAAGAAAATGTTTCCACATCAGAAGTCAAAGTTTCTAACGCGCATCTTTTTGCCTGCGCAGTGTGATATTGTGACATAACTAAGGTATCTGTTACCTTGTTTGTCATACATATTATATGTTTAGTATCTAGTGCGGAAGTTCCTCAACTTTAGTCTGCAGCAGAAGAACCTGCAGGCCTGAGAACACAGTGCTGGGCCAGCCTCCAGAGTTTCTGAGTCAGTGTCATCTGCACTGAGAGGCGAGCATTGCATTTTTACCAAGTTCCCAGCTGATGCTGTTGGCCTCCACATCATACTTTGAAAACCACTGCTTTTGTCATATAGCAATTGTTACCCTAACCTAAAAAATTACTTTTTTTTTCATTGACAATACATACAGAAGAGGGGTAACAGTTTCATGTAACTTTTGAAAATTGATTCTCATTGAACCAGAACTGGAGGCCTAGTTTACTTTTCCTCCTAATCTGTGTTGTGTTCCCAGGGTCAGCATCTTGAGAGTGTCTGCTAATTGAATGGGTTATACTTATTTACAAAAGACCCATTTCAAAAATAGCTTCAATAAATAAAATACCCATGGCCAGAGAATAAGTTTTGAAAGTTGGCTTGTTAAATGAGCTTTATATTTATTTTAAGGTTAAAATATTTAGCATTCATGGATTACCTAATTTCAGAAAGTAAGAATACATAAATTATTTTTAAAATTAATTTATTTGAGAAGCATAGAGAGAGGGAGAGAGAGAGAGAGAGAAAGAAAGAGCTCCCATCTGCTGGTTCGTTCCCTAAATACAATGATTGAGGCCGGGCCGGGACCAGAGCCAGAGCTTGGAAGTGGGGCAGGAGCCTAGGAGTCAGTGTTGAAGCCAGGAGCTGAGAACTCAGTCCAGGTCTCCCATATGGGTAGCAGGAGCCCAATTACTTTGAGTCATCACTACTACCTCCCAGGGTTTACATTGGAAGGAAGCTGGAGTCAGGAGCTAGGGCTGGGAACTCTTTAAAGCTGTTAGTGTTTATTATTATTGTTACTATTTTTTGACAGGCAGAGTGGACAGTGAGAGAGAGAGAGACAGAGAGAAAGGTCTTCCTTTTTCTGTTGGTTCACCCCCCCCCCCAATGGCCACTGTGGCTGGCACGCTGTGGCCGGCACACTGCACTGATCTGAAGCCAGGAGCCAGGTGCTTCTCCTGGTCTCCCATGTGGGTGTAGGGCCCAAGGACTTGGGCCATCCTCTGCTGCACTCCCGGGCCACAACAGAGAGCTGTACTGGAAGAGGAGCAACCGGGACAGAATCCGGTGCCCCGACCGGGACTAGAACCCGGGGTGCCGACCCCGCAGGCAGAGGATTAGCCTATTGTGCCATGGCTCCGGTCTAGTGTTTATTATTATTGTAAGCTTAGTTTGCCATTGTGAAGTCTGTGAATTTGGAAGACTAGCCTGAATTTTTTTTTTTTTTGAACATACATTTTAATTACAAAAGTTAGCTACTAATTTGTCATTTATCCCAAGAGTAGCTTATTTTGGACCCTTCTGATGGGATTTGGATAAAATACATTGTTATGATATATATTGTTGACAATATAGAAATGCTTTCCTGATTTTGTCTGATTGTGTTTATGCTCTTTTTTAGGCAAGTCGTTGGTTATGGAAAAAAGTGAAGCCCCATCCCCCTTCTTCTGGGTTACCTCCTTGTCCTAGGCTTGGACATAGCTTCTCTTTATATGGTAACAAATGCTATTTGTTTGGTGGCCTGGCAAATGAAAGTGAAGATTCAAACAATAATGTTCCTAGGTATGCTGACTCTTTCTCAGACCAAATACTTACTTTTTGATGCATATTAGAAACATTTGATTTCTCCCATCTTTAATTATTAAAAGGGCTGAAGCCTAACTTTTTTTCATTTAAATCTAACAATGAACAAATATGTATGCATTTGTGTTTTCTTTAGTCCTTGGAATATATTTGTTTTCAAAACTATGCTTTTTCTAGTCAGAAATCATTTTAAACTGATGTTAGTATTCTTACTTGTATCACTAAATTCGTATATATTAAAACAATGTATTATAGTTGCTTTATAAATAATAATTAAAAATAACAGAATTATTTTAAAATTAGGTTTCTCCGGGAATTAAACATTTTTTAAAGATTTATTTGTTTGAAATGCATTGGCTGTGTCTGAGTACCCAAGGTGAGTGGCAGGGAATGACAGGGTGAGAGAGAGAGAGAGAGAGAGAGGGGGGCAAAGAGATCTTCCGTATGCTGGTTCTCTGCTCAAATGACTGCATCGGCCAAGGCTGGCCTGCTCTCCCAAATGCATTAGCAAGGAGCTAAGATCAGAAGTGGGGCAGCCAGGACTTGAACCTGCATCCATATAGGTTGCTGGGATTACAAGCAGTGGCTTAACCTGCTGTGCCATGGTCTCTTTCCCCTCTTTGGGAATTTACTGACAAAAATATGACTATCAAATGAAAGCTGTCATTTCTATTTTTCATATAAGAAGCTGTTAGAATGGTTCAAAGTTGACAGTTTTAGAAATCTTTTTCTCGGCCGGTGCTGCAGCTCACTAGGCTAATCCTCCGCCTGCAGCGCCGGCACCCCAGGTTCTAGTCCTGGTTGGGGCACCGGATTCTGTCCTGGTTGCTCCTGTTCCAGTCCTGCTCTCTGCTGTGGCCCAGGAAGGCAGTGGAGGATGGCCCAAGTGCTTGGGTCCTGCACCCCATGGGAGACCAGGAGGAAGCACCTGGCTCCTGGCTTTGGATCAGCGCAGCGCGCTGGCCATAGCAGCCATTTGGGGGGTGAACCAACGGAAGGAAGACCTTTCTCTCTTGTCTCTCTCTCTAACTCTGCCTGTCAAAATAAAATAAAAGACTACACTTTCCTTATGAATTGGATTGGCATCTTTGTGGAAAAACAATTAACCATAAATGTAATGGGGGCAGGCATTGATTCAGTAGTTAAGCCACCATTTGGGAAGCATGCATCCCATATTGGAGTTTCTGGGTTTGGGTTTTGACTCCACTATGATTCCAGCTTCCTGCTAATGCACACCTTGTCTCAAGTGACAAGCAGGTGATAGTTCAAGTGCTTAGGACCTTGCCACTCATGTGGGAGATGCAGACTGGGTTCCTGGTTCCTGGCTTCCAGAGAATAGGAGATTTCTGTCTTTCTCTCTTTCTGTCTCCTGGCTTCCGACAAAAGGAAGATTTCTTGTCTCTTCCCTCTTCTCCTCCTCTCCCCTCCCCTCCCCTCCCCTCCCCTCCCTTCCTCTCCCCTCCTTTCCTCTCTTCTCTTCTCTCTGTTTCTCTGCCTTTCAAACAAATTAAACATTTTAAAAATATTTATTTGGGAGAGAGAGCTCCCATTTGCTAATTTACCCCCAAAGTATTTGAAACAGTTTGGGCTGGGCTGGGGCTGAGGCTGGATGGCGGGAACTTAATCTAGATTTTCCAGGTGGGAGGCAGGAACCCAAATACTTGAGCCATCACTAATGCCTCACAGGGTCTGCACTGGTAGGAAGCTGGAGTCAGGAGCTAGGAATTGAACCCAGGTACTCCAATGTGGTATGAGTATGTCTTAACCCCTATGCTAAACACCTCATCCTGGATTGTCAGTTCTGTTCCATTGATCCTTGTGTTTATCCTTGTACCAATATCACGCTGTCTTGCTGTCTTGATAACGTACTGATTTCTGGCTTTGTGGTACGTTTTTTTTTTTTTTTTACAGGCAGAGTTAGACAGTGTGAGAGAGAGAGACAGAGAGAAAGGTCTTCCTTTTGCTGTTGGTTCACCCCCAAAGTGGCCACTACAGCCAGCGTGTGGCAGCTGGCTGATCTGAAGCCAGAAGCCAGGTGTTTCCTCCTGGTCTCCCATGCTGGTGCAGGGCCCAAGCACTTGGGCCATCCTCCACTGCACTCCCAGGCCACAGCAGAGAGCTGGACTGGAAGAGGAGCAACCAGCACAGAATCTGGCGCCCCAACTGGGACTAGAACCTGGGGTGCCGGCCCCACATGCGGAGGATTAGCCTAGTGAGCCACGGCGCCGGCCTCTTCTTTTTCAATAATTGTTTTTGAGTCCTTTGTATTTTTATGTAGATTTTAAGATCAACTTGCCAAGTTTCGCAAAAAGGGCTGATGGAATTTTCATAGAAATTTATGATAACTTGGGGAGAGTTCCATCTTAATATTTAATCTTTCCATCCATGAACATGTAATATCTCTTCATTTATTTAGTTTCTTTAATTTGTCTCAGCAATATTCTATAGTTTTCAGTGTACAAATCTTACTGTTTTTTTAAAGATTTATTTATTTATTTGAAAGGCAGAGTTACAGAGAGAAAGAGAGAGAGTGAGAGAGAGAGAAAGAGAGAGAGAGAGGTCTTCCATCCACTAGTTCACTCTCCAGATGGCTGCAACGGCCAGAGTTGTGTCGATCCGAAACCAAGAGCTTCTTCCAGGTCTCCCATGCGGGTGCAGGGGCCTCTTCTACTTGGGCCATCTTTTACTGCTTTCCCAGGCCAAAGCAGAGAACTGGATCGGAAGTGGAGCAGCCGGGACTCGAACTGGTGCCCATATGGGATGCCGGCACTGCAGGCCAGGACTTTAACCTGCTGCAGCACAGCGCCAGCCCCACAATGAATAATTCTAAAATTAAATTTGGAAATCTAATCCAGGAGTGGGCATTTGGCACAGCAGTTAAATACTACTTAGGACTCCTGCATCCCATGTTAGAATGCCTGGATTTGACTCCTGGTTCTGCTTCTAATTCCAGCTTCTGGCCTATGTGCATGCTGGGAGGCAGAAGGCAATTCAAGTGGTTAGGTCCCTGCAACCCATGTGGGAGGCCTGGATTGAATTCTGGGTTCCTGGCTTTGGCTTGGCCCAGCCCTGGCTGCTACACGCATTTGGAGAATAGACCAGTGAATAAAAGATCTCTATTTGTCTCTGTCCCTCTTTCAACTAAATAAATAAATACATTTTAAAGAAAGAAAGGAGCCAAATCCAAATCCATTCACTGTGTCATCAAAAAAATAAATAAAAAGCTTAGGAATAAATTTTACAAAATAAGAAACAGTAAGGAGCTGGCGCTGTGGCATAGCAGGTAAAGCTGCTGCCTGCAGTGCCGGCATCCCATATGGGCACCAGTTCGAGTCCTGGCTGCTCCACTTCTGATCCAGCTCTCTGCTATGGCGTGGAAAAGCAGTAAAAGATGGCCCCAGTAGAAGGGGCCCCTGCACCCGCGTGGGAGACGCGGAAGAGGCTCCTGGCTCCTGGCTTCGGATTGGCGCAGCTTCAGCCGTTGCGGCCATCTAGGGAGTGAACTAGTGGATGGAAGACCTCTCATCTGTCTCTACCTCTCTCTGTTACTCTGTCTTTCAAATAAATAAAAATAAATCTTTAACAACAACAACAAAAAGAATTATTCATTGCTAGTATATAGAAATGTAGTTGGTTTGTATGTTGACTTTGTATCTTATAACATTTATTATTTCTAATCATATTTGTATAATATCAGTTTTTCTTTTTATCATTGATCCTTTGGAGTTTTTTATATATTTTCTTTCATACACTCTAAATATTTTGCCAAGTTTTTGCTTTGTCCCCTCCCTTTTTTTTTTTTTTTTTTTTTTTTTTTTTTTTTAAGATTTCCACTTTTGTGTTTTCAAGCTTGAATATTTTATGGCTTTTGGGTTTTGTATCTTACCTAAGAAGATTCTCCTCCAAAATAATGAAATATAACTTTGTGTATTCTTTTAGTACATTCACAGTTTAGTTTTGTTTATTATGTTTAGAATATTTATACATTTGGAATATACTTTTGTAACTAATGTGAGGCTTTTTCCTAGTAGATTTCCAGTTCTCTCAACCATGTATTAAATAAATCATCTCTTCCTCACCCCCCCCGATTATTTGAAATTCCATCTTTGTTACATATTAATTCCTGTGTAAATGGGTCTTTTTCAAGGATTTCCAAAACAGGAATAGCAAACTAGATTCTGTGGGCCAAATCTGGCATGCTGCCTATTTTTGTTAATTAAGTTTTATTGGAATACAGCCGTGCCCATTTGTCACATATTGTCTTTGGCTGCTTTTGTGTTAAAACAACAGAGTTAAGTAGTTGCCACAGACTTTACAGTCTATAACATTTAAGATGTTTACTATCTGGCCCTTTACAGAGAAAGCTTGTTGATTCCTGCTCTAGCCTGTGTTGTTTTATTAATATATTTGCCTTTCTGTCATGAATTGTGTTTTCTATAGGTTTCTGGTATACCTTTGATCAGATTAAGGATATTTTCATTCCTAGTTTACCAGGTGTTTTTTTCTTTCTTTTTAAAGCAAGACTGCTTCAGTTTCAGAACTCTTTTTTTCTTTATCTCTCTCTCTTTTTTTCTATTCTTTCCTTATTTATTTATTTATTTATTTATTTTTTACTAGAAAGGCAGAAAGACAGAGACAGAGCTCTTCTATCACTAGTTCACTCTCAAAATGCCCCACAACAGCTGGGGCTGGGCCAGGCCAACGTTAGGAGCCCAGAAATCAGTTCAGTCCTCCTTTGTGGGTGGCAAGAAGCCAAGTACTTGAGCTGTCACCTACTGCCTCCCACGGTGCACATTAACAAGAAACCGGAATTGGAAGAGGAGTTGGACTCTGTTATGGGATGTAAGCATTTCAACAGTGTCTTAACTACTGTGCCAAATACCTGCCCCTTTTTTCTGTCTTTTTAACCAAAAAATGGACATTGTGATAGTTTAAATTCATTTTAGGCATGGAAATGGAAATGAGAGAGATCTTCCATCTGCTGGTTTACTCCCCAGATGGCCACAATGACCAGGCTGGGTCAGGCTGAAGCCAGGGGCTTCTTCCAGGTCTCCCATGTGGGTGCAGGGGCCCAAGGATTAGGCCATTCTTGGCTGCTTTCCCAGGCACATTAGCAGGGAGCTGGATCAGAAGTGGAACAGCTAGACTCGAACCAGCACCCATATGGGATGCCTGCATGCCATGGCGTTAACCTGCTGTGCCACAGTAGCCTCAAATGATTATTCTTTTTTGAAGATTGTATTTGTGATCAGTTTCACAGTCAACATTTGTGATTACTTTATAGGTGCTCCAAAAGCCAAGGTTCTTTATTAAGTAGTTTCACATTATTATTATTTTTAAAGATTTCTTCATTTATTTGAAAAGCAGAGTTAACAGAGAGAGAAAGAGAGAGGGATAATGATAGAGATCTTCCATCAGCTGGCTCACTCTCCAAATGGCCTCAATGGCCAGAGCTGGGTTGATCTTAAGCCAGGAGCTTCTTCTAGATCTCCTATGTGGGTGCAGGGGCACAAGTGCTTGGGCCATCTTCTGCTGTTTTCACAGGCACATTAGTAGGGAGCTGGATCGAAAGGGGAGCAACCAGGACTCGAATCAGCACCCATATGGGATGCCAGGACTGTAGGCAGTGACTTTACCTGCTATGCCACAGCCCTAGCCCCCGTTTTATTAAATTATTATTCAAAGCTTTTTAAGTTTGTTTGGGTAATGTCAGTGACATGTTAAAATCTCCTAGTATGATTATATATTTGTATTTTGTTCCTTTGTTTTGTTTATCTAATTTTCAACCTGTGAATCATTTTGATGTAGACTTATCTTTTATAAATAGAACTAACAGCCAACATAAACAGGCATAGCATTCTGTCTGGTGTCCATTCTGATCAGTTTACACCTCTGCCATATCAGTTGTTAAAAAGTTTTAATAACATTCTTGATTTTGTTAACTTGTAGTTAGATTCAGAATTATCTTTCCCCTATGTCCCCATCCCAACCAGAGATCTTGCCTTATAGCAAGGAATTTTTCACTGCCCTTGTACTTTATTTTTTCATGTTCTCTTTTTTGTTTCTACTCCCTCACCTCCCGTTTTTGCCTTTGCTAGATTTCTTAAAGCTTTGATGAGATTGGACATTTGTGTGTATGTGTGTGTATATGCATGCATATTAGTGTATATATATCTCTATGTGTATGTATGTACACATATGTATAATTTTTATTTCTTCTGTGAACTGTCAGTTTACATCCTTTTATCTGTGTCTGTTGTGTGGTAGGCCATTATTTTGTTTTAGAGTTCTTTTTCTGTGATGTACACTAATTTTCTTTTTAGTTTATCCTTTTCTTTTAACATTGCTTATGGTGGATTTTTGTTTAACATTTTATTAATTGGGGCCATAGCTGTGGCACAACAGGTTAAAGCCGTGGCCTGCAGCCCCAGCATCCTATAGGGATGCCATTTTGAGTCCCAGCAGTGGGGGTGGCCCAAGCCCTTGGCCCTCTGCACCCACATGGGAGACCAGGAAGAAGTTCCTGGCTCCTGACTTAGGCCTGGTCTAGTCCTGGTTGTTGCAGCCATCTGGGGAGTGAACCAGCAGATGGAAGAACTCTGTCTGTGTCTCTCCTCTCTCTCTGTAACTCTGCCTTTCAAATAAATAAACAAACTTTTAAAATTTTTATTAATTGCTTTCTGTATACTATGATTTAATTACTTTTCTCTTTTAATTGTTCTTTGATTCTTTTCTTTCTTGTAGTTGTTTAAAAGTTAGACATGCTAATTCTAATTGCTTAGAAGTTAACATGGACGTTTAAATTGAAAATACCTTGTCATTCTTGAGAATAATTTTTTTACCCTTAGTATTCTTTTGCCTACCCTGTTTGTACATTCCATATTCTTGAATCTTATTCTGGGTTATAATAATACTACAAAATTAACTTTTTAGTAAGTCTTTTATTGGGAGTGTGTAGACATCACAACCACAGTTACTAATATCAATTTAAATGTAACCAAAAATGACTGTTTCTTTGTACTGCCAGGTACTGCCATTTCTCTTATCCAGTGTATTCTTTCTTGGACTTCTTTTTCTTTTATTGAAATAACACCACAGAGTCACTTTTCTTCAAAACAAAAATATGTAGCTGGATTTTGAAGTTTATATTCCCAAAAAGTCATTTTGGTAAAAACTTTTAAAACATCTATGCCTCAGATAAGAAAATCAATGTTAGTTTCTTTCTTTCTTTTATTTATTTTATTTGAAAGGAAGAAAGAGAGACACACAGAGAGAAATCTTTCATTTGCATATTCACTCCCCAAAGACCCTAAATAGCTGCAACTGGGCCAGTCTGAAGCCAAGGAGCCAGGAACTCAATCAGGATCATCCACATGGGTGCTGGAGATCCAAGTACTGTGAGCCACCTGCTGCCTCTCAGGATATGTATTAGCAGGAAGCTAGACTTGAGAACAGAACTAGAGCTCAAACTGGCAACTTTAAAAAAAAATTGTTTTCATCATAATGTCATAGCATTGGGTTGACTGAACCCTCAGATGGGAAGACTTGAATAATTACTGATGCCTCAAGTGAGGTGGCTGAAGGACAATTTCAGTGGGACAGTCACCCCTCATGCCTACCTCTACAAATAGTGGTTTTGTGATAGTTGGACTTCTGACATGGTAGCTTAGGATTCCAAGAGCAAATGCTCTAGTGAACCTTTATTAGCCTTCCGTGACCCAGCCTTAGAAGTCCTTGGTATCATTTTTCACACCCTATTGTCAAGGCATCACAAACCAGGTAGAGTCAAGAGGAAGCCACATAGACCCTACCTCCTAATGGAAAGATTTAGAACTCTGTTTTAAAATCCCACAATTGTCATTGATAAGAGTGTTCTAAATGATGGCAGGATTTTTTTTTTTTAATTTCTGTTTACTACTGAGCCTCCAAAGAGTGATCAGTAGTGTTAAATTAGTGAAATCTAGGTTTTCAGCACTACTGTTGCCTTTCTGTAGTACATGAATTTTTTCAGTAAACATGTTATTTTTATAAATAAGAGCAAGAAGCATAAGTATGTATTATCTGAATGTTTTCATTTCTTATATGATATCCTAGGTATTTAAATGATTTCTATGAGTTGGAGCTACAGCATGGTTCTGGTGTTGTGGGTTGGAGCATTCCAGTGACTAAAGGGGTTGTGCCTTCACCAAGAGAATCTCACACAGCTGTTATATATTGCAAAAAAGATTCTGGGAGTCCTAAAATGTATGTTTTTGGTGGAATGTGTGGTGCTCGTCTGGATGACCTGTGGCAACTTGACTTAGGTAAGCTTAATTTGATTCAGAGTCAGGAATTGGTTATGATTAATAAAGGCAAATCTTAAAATGATTTTAAAATGTTTTTGATTGTACTTAGATTTGTTTTTTTGTTTTTTTTTTTTTTTTTTTTTTTTAAAACTCCACACGCCTGGTTCGACAGTGAGAGAGAGACAGAGAGAGAAAGGTCTTCCTTTGCCGTTGGTTCACCCTCCAATGGCCGCCGCTGCAGCCGGCGCACCGCGCTGATCCTGGCAGGAGCCAGGAGCCAGGTGCTTTTCCTGGTCTCCCATGGGGTGCAGGGCCCAAGCACCTGGGCCATCCTCCACTGCACTCCCTGGCCACAGCAGAGAGCTGGCCTGGAAGAGGGGCGACCGGGACAGAATCCGGCGCCCCAACCGGGACTAGAACCCGGTGTGCCGGCGCCGCAAGGTGGAGGATTAGCCTATTGAGCCACGGCGCCGGCTTGTACTTAGATTTATAATCAGCACTTGAAGCCCGAGGGGCAGCTGAGATGTTATATGAGTAGTTGGTAATCAATCAGATTGAACAAATGAATGTTTGATTTACAGTTGTAACTTGGTTTGCCTAGGGTTGTTCTCATTTATATACTTACTGTCCTATGCAATTAAAAATAGTGATTATTAAATATCACCTTTCATGCTAAAAATATTCTGTTAGAGATAATTTTAAATGATCACCCTATCTAGAGCAAATACAGCATTAGCAGTGTAATTGCTAGTCAGTGAATAAACCCTTAGGTAGCTTGGTCTAATGGAATTCTAGAAATGAATGTTTGGAGGGTAGGTTTGTCTTTTACCTTTGATTATCTTCTATACAATATACTCTTATTTAAAATGTCAAAATAACTAATATTGCTCTTTAAAATTTTTTTTATTTATTTATTTGAAGGGAAGAGTGACAGAGAGGAGAGACAGAGATCTTCCATCTGCTGGTTCACTTTACAAATGGCTGCAACAGCCAGAGCTGAGCCAGGCTGAAGTCAGGAGCCCGGAACTCCATCCGGTCTCCTTTGTGGGTGACAGGGATCCCAGGTACTCTGGGCCATCATCTGCTCCCTTCTCAGGAACATTTGTAGAAAGCTAGATTGGAAGCAGAGCAGCTGGGACCTGAACCAGTTCTCAGATTTGAGATGCAGAAGTTAGAAATGGCAGCTTAACACAAGGGACCACAACACTCACCCTGCTAATACCATTTCCTTTGAAAGATTTATTTATTTATTTGAAAGTCAGAGTTACACAGAGAGAGGAGAGGCCTTCCATCCAATGATTCACTCCCCAACTGGCTGCAATGGCTAGAGCTGTGCCAATCCCAAGCCAGGAGCCAGGAACCTCTTCTGGGTCTCCCCACACAGGTGCGGGGGCCCTAGGACTTGGGCCATCCTCCACCGCTTTCCCAGGCCACAGCAGAGAGCTGGATTGGAAGTGGAACAGCTGGGTCTTGTCCAGGCCCATATGGGATGCCGGTGCTTCAGGCCAGGGTGTTAACCCGCTGTGCCTCAGCACTGGCCCCACTAATACTATTTTTAATTCACTATTAGTGGCACTCTAAGCATACCTCTCAATTACAAATGCTTTCAAATGTAGAGATTTGGTTGATAATTTATGTCAGCTATATGTTTATTTTAAGGTGACATTCAAATAACTCTTTTGAAACATTTCTGTTTTAAATTCTTATTTTTGTTTTAATTTATAACTATGGAAACTGAGGTAATTTTTTATTATTGGATCAATTTGCTAATATACTTATTTTTTCTTTTAGAAACTATGTCTTGGTCAAAACCAGAAACTAAAGGGACAGTGCCACTTCCACGAAGCCTTCACACAGCCAGCGTTATAGGAAATAAGTACGCTGTCTTTTTGAGTTTTGCTTTTGCTTTAAAAAAAAAAAAAAAACTTGACAAAGATGCAAAAGAAAATTGATACCACTAGTTTCTTAGCAACAGATTCCTTAACAATGTGCTTACCAAAGCTAGAACCATTTGTGTATGTTGGCTAAAGTGCTTCCTGTGCCATTTTCTTATCGTGATGTCTTCTGTACTTCCTCACCTTCCTCACGGTACTTGGCCAGAGTAGAGGTTATGTAAGTGTAAGGTAAGGCATTGTCAAGTGAATCTGTCCTCTGTTAGCAGCTTTGATACACTTAACTGTTTCTTTTGAAATATGTTCCTTGTGCTTGATTTATATATAGGCATGTACTCTCTGTGATTATATTTTGTATGGCAGTACTATAGACTTGTGGTTATACTGCAGACACTAACCAAATTGTCTGAATTCAAGTCTCAGGCTTGGTCTTTGTCATGTGTGACCTGGGGCAAGGAAGCTGAATCAGTCTGTACCTCAGTTTCCTTAAGCATACAGTGGAGATTAAAGTAACATCTAGTTCACAGGGCTATAGTGAGGATTACATGGATTAAAATATACAAAATTCTTAGAACATTGCCTGATACATACAGAGCACTCCTTAAAGATTAGCTATTGTTATCAACAAGTGCCCTTCTTTATGTGACATTGGACCACAACTGGGTGTATTGTTTAAGTAGAATTTAAGAAAGTACTTACTAGTATAGGGATTTTACTTTAACTTTTACTTTAGGAAAGTAGTAGTTACAATTTAGAATTTGACTAGTTCTTTTTAAAAAAAAAAATAGTCTCAAAACCAAAACAGAATAGTCTTTACATTTTTTTTAATTTTTATTTTATTTTTTATTTTTTTGACAGAAAGAGTGGACAGTGAGAGAGAGAGAGAAAGGTCTTCCTTTTTCCGTTGGTTCACCCTCCAATGGCCGCTGAGGCTGGCACGCTGCGGCCGGCACACCGTGCTGATCCGAAACCAGGAGCCAGGTGCTTCCCCTGGTCTCCCATGCGGGTGTAGGGCCCAAGCACTTGGGCCATCCTCCACTGCACTCCCGGGCCATAGCAGAGAGCTGGACTGGAAGAGTAGCAACTGGGACAGAATCTAGCGCCCTGACCGTGACTAGAACCGGGTGTGCCGGCGCCGCAGGCGGAGGATTAGCCTATTGACCCACGGCCCGGGCCAGAATAGTCTTTATAGTTAAACATGATTTTATCATACAATAAAAATTTGTTTTAAATTTATTTGAGAGACAGAGGCAGAAAGAGACAGGGAGCTTCCATTTTGCTGGTTTCCCCTCCAAATGCTTGCAATAGCTGGAAGAAGGATTGGGGCCATAAGGAAACCGAAGCCAGGAGCTGGGATCATAATCTAGGTCTCCCATGTGGGTGGCAGTCACCCAATTACTTGAGCCATTACCATTGCCTTCTAGGTTCTGTATCAGTGGGAAGCTATAGTCAGGGACAAGAGCCAGGAATCCAACCCAGACACTTGGATGTAGGACTTGGGCATCTTAACTTCTAGGCTAAGCACCCATCCAAGATACAATTTTTGAAACAGTTGAGCGTTTTTCTTTATTTTTTCTTTATTTTATTTTATTTTTGGCAGGCAGAGTGGACAGTGAAAGAGAGAGACAGAAAGAAAGATCTTCCTTTGCCATTGGTTCACCCACCAATGGCCACTGTGGCCGGCGCACCGCGTTGATCCGAAGCCAGGAGCCAGGTGCTTCTCCTGGTCTCCCATGCGGGTGCAGGGCCCAAGGACCTGGGCCATCCTCCACTGCTTTCCCTGGCCATAGCAGAGAGCTGGCCTGGAAGAGGTGCAACCAGGACAGAATCTGGCGCCCCGACTGGGACTAGAACCCCGGGGTGCTGGCGCTGCAGGCGGAGGATTAGCCTGTTGAGCTGCGGTGCCGGCGCAGTTGAGCCTTTTTATAAAATGAACTTTTTCCATTAGAACTTCAATATGCAAAATAAGTAAAGGGAACTTCTGTGGTTGGCATGAAGTCACAAGTACCCTAAACTCTACCTGATGAACTTGTTTTTCTTCAGCAGTCCCTAGGCTTATCTCAAGAAACTTAATCTTCTTTGGTTACTATATGCACACAATTCTAAATTTAATTTTGGTTGTCATATAGATCATGTAAGTATCATTCTTACTGAGGTACCCTTCATATATTACAGACATATTGCTTTCCAAATGCATTATAATTGAAATATTATCCCACTTTGAGTAGCTTGCCAGAGAGAAATGATTTGGATTCTGTGTTACTGCTGTGTAAAGTTGTAAACCCTAGAAAGAATACAGTTTTATTCATCTTCCTATTCCCATTATCTTGACAATGATATATGAGTGAATAGTCCTGAAACTTTTAGTCCCAAAGAAAAAATTGGTTTGTTCTTCTTCGTATTTCAAATACAAAAATGAAATTAAATCAGCAACTTCATATTCTTTTTGTTTTTTAGGATGTACGTTTTTGGTGGATGGGTTCCACATAAGGGGGAAAATATTGAGACTTCATCTCATGATTGTGAATGGAGATGTACCAGTTCTTTTTCTTATCTAAATCTGGGTGAGTCTTTTAAGAGTTATTTATTGAAATAAGGTTTCATAATAAAATTTTTATCTTGTTATTTAAGAACAATAGACTAGTCATGGATATTTCTGTCTTTTCAGATACGGCAGAGTGGACAACCCTTGTATCAGATTCTCAGGAAGATAAAAAAAATTCACGACCAAGACCAAGAGCTGGACACTGCGCTGTTGCAATTGGCACTCGGTTATATTTTTGGAGTGGAAGAGATGGTTACAAAAAAGCACTGAATAGTCAAGTTTGCTGCAAAGATCTTTGGTATCTTGATACTGGTAGGTAAGAGTACTTAAGAAATAAAATTTTCCTTTAGGTAAATACTCAAATAACTGCTAAAACTTACTGTAAATGCCGCCACCTCTCTTTGCCATAAAATGAAGGGAAGAAATAATATATGTAGATAATCTCTGTGCAGACAGGTATATTAATTCCACTCTCCTTGAATGTAGATTGAATTTAGAGATTCCCATGCAAAGAACAGAATATAGAAAGGGAAAATGGTTTCTTTGCAGTGGAGAAACCTGGCAACCACTACCTTAAGTAATTAAGGTTAATATTTCCAGTGATAAGTTACGTGAATATCATTTACCCTCACCCCCCTGTTATAATATTGTAAGAAAGTGCTTCACCTCTGTGGTATTCTTCTCAAAAATCTTTAACCCTAAATGTCAGGCAAACCCACATTGGGACACTCTGGATTTTATAGAATATGTGAACAGTACTCTTCAAAAATTTCAAATTGCTGAAGAACAAGGAAGACCTAAGAAATAGTCATTAGTTACAGGTGACTAAGGAGACATGACAACTAAATGCAATATAATATTCTGTACTGGATCCCAGAACAACAACAACAACAAGACATTACATGAAGAACTGGTGAAATCTGAGTATCCTGTAGTTTAGTTGGTAACATTATACCAACGATAATTTTTTTTTTTTTTTTTTTTTTTTTTTTTTGACAGGCAGAGTGGACAGTGAGAGAGAGACAGACAGAGAGAAAGGTCTTCCTTTTGCCGTTGGTTCACCCTCCAATGGCCGCCGCGGCCAGCGCGCTGCGGCCGGCACACCGCACTGATCCCATGGCAGGAGCCAGGTGCTTTTCCTGGTCTCCCATGGGGTGCAGGGCCCAAGCACTTGGGCCATCCTCCGCTGCACTCCCGGGCCACAGCAGAGAGCTGGCCTGGAAGAGGGGCAACCGGGACAGAATCCGGCGCCCCAACCGGGACTAGAACCCGGTGTGCCGGCGCCACAAGGCAGAGGATTAGCCTAGTGAGCCGCGGCGCCGGCCTTCTTCGTTTTTACAAATGTGTTAACATTAGGGGAAGCTGGGGAAGTGGTATATGGCAGTGCTGTGCTATCCTTGTAATCTTACTATAAACCTAAAATTACTCCAAAATATAAAGCTTTTAAAAAATGAGAGCACCAATAATTTTTTAAAATATTTATCTATTTATTTGAAAGGCAGAGATACAGAGAGATAGGGGGAGAAAGAAAGAGAGAAAATGAGATCTTCTATCTTGCTGATTTACTCCCCAAATAACCACAGTGGCCAGAGTTGGGCCAGGCAGAAGCCAGGAGCCTCAAACTCCATCTAGGTCTCCCACATGAGTAGGGTACATAGCAAGGAGCTGGATTGGAAGTAGAAAGTTGAAACTCAAACTGACACTCATGTGGGATGCCGGTATCCCAAGCAGTGGGTTAGCTCACTGTACCACAACACTGGCCCTACCAATAATTTTTTCAATGTGGAATTGGCCTCCATTTTTAATAAATACTTACTGATTGATATCTGTCTAGCAGAAATTGTTTTAATTCTAACAACACAACAGTGAACAAGGGTAATGTTCATATTTCCAAAGAAATTAAATTCTGAGGGAGTATGAGGACAGGGAGATAATGAGTCATAAACAAATGAACAAAACAAGTTTGGTTTCTGGTAGGCATGTGAAGACATGAGATAGTGATGGAGCATGGTGGTGGCTTTGGAGTGAGGAGTCAGAAAAGGCATCTGTGATGAGATGTCAGATGGGATATGATCCAAATGATAAGGAGCTACCCATGTAGAAGGCTGGGGAGTCACCACAGGAAAAGTGAACAGCAAGTGCACAGGCCCTGAGGTGGGACTTCTTGACATGCTTGGGAGTAGATCTGAGCCAAGTATACCAAGCGGAGAGAGCTGGCCTGGAGGTTAGAGAGGGCCATGGATTAGATTATTATAGGAGCTTGAGTGGCATAGTAGAGTTTCAACTGTTTTTAATGAACAATGGTAAGTTATGTATAAGTTTGAAGGAGAGATGGGATGTGATCTGGTTTACATTTTTATTTTATTTATTTTAATTTTCTTCAAATATTTATTTATTTATTTGAAAGTCAGAGCTACACACAGAGAGGAGAGGCAGAGAGAGAGAGAGAGGTCTTCCACCCGCTGGTTCACTCCCCAATTGGCCGCAATGGCTGGAGCTGCACCAATCCGAAGCCAGGAGCCAGGAGCTTCTTCTGGGTCTCCCACATGGGCGCAGGGCCCAAGGACTTGGGCCATCCTCTACTGCTTTCCCTGGCCATAGCAGAGAGCTGGATTGGAAGTGGAGCAACTGGGTCTCAAACTGGTGCCCATATGGGATGCCAGCACTGCAGGCGGTGGCTTTACCTGCTATGCCACAGCATCAGCCCCTGGTACACATTTTTATTTTAAAGACTTACTTATTTTATTTGAAAGACAGAGTTACAGAGAGAAAGAGAGAGAGAGAGAAAGATATCTTCCATCCACTGATTTACTCCCCAAATGGCTGCAATGGCTGGAGCTGGGCCGATCTGAAGCCCCGATGCAGGGGCCCAAGGACTTGGGCCATTTTCCACTGCTTTCCCAGGCCATAGCAGAGACCTGCATCGCATGTGGAGCAGCCAGGACTTGAACCTGTACCCTGTATGGGATGCCAGCACTGCAGGTGGCGGCTTTACCTACTATGTCACAGTGCCAGCCTCTCTGGTATACATTTTGAAGTGCTTTCTGCAGTTACGTGGAAAGTAAATTGTAGGGCAGCAAAAGTGCACACAGGAGACAAATTAGAAGGCTTTTGCCATAGTCAGACAACTGTCTTAGAGTCTAGTGGTAACAGTGGAAAAGGAGAGGAATGGATAAATTCAGGATATGTTTTGGAATTGTTGACAGAACTGCAGATAATTGGATATGATAGATGACAAAAAGAAAATGGAGGGTGAAGTTTTTAACTTGAATAATTTACTGAGATGGGGAAGACAGGAGAAAACAGCTTTGGGAGAAAATGAGGAGTTCTCTTTAAACCATGTTATGTTTGAGATGAGATTGAGTAGGCAGTTCAGTGAGTAAACAAGTCTGGAGGCCAATAAAGAAATTAGATCTGGAGATGTAATATGTGGTGTTATATGAGAAAAGCAGATTATAAAACATACCCATGATGCCAGTTTTTAAATGTATAAATAGAAAACTTAGAAGAATATAAGCAAAATTACTATCTGAGAGCTGAGAGTATACATATTCTTCAAAGTTTTTCTCTCTTATCTCTTGGTATCTTCTACTGTAGCATATATAGCTTTTGTGATGTAAGAACAGCTTAATATTAAAATTAAGATAGTTGAAAAACACAATGAATGGAACAGCTAAGTTATGAGACTGAGTGCTTTCCTTGGAAGCACATACCAGCAAGCAGGAGAAAAATATAGAAAATCCAGCTTACTGATTTGTCTTAAAAATTGGTATTTATCAACCAGTCCAAGGATAACCTTCAGTCTCTAAAATTGTATTTATGAATTTTTCTCTGTAGGGAATATATCACTTTTTTAAAAAGAGATTTATTTATTTGAAAGTCAGAGTTACACCGTGAGAGGAGGGGCAGAGAGGGAGAGAGAGAGAAAGAGAGAGAGGTCTTCCATCCGATGGTTCACTCCCCAGTTGGCCGCAAAGGCTGGAGCTGCACTGATCCGAAGCCAGGAGCCAGGAGCTTCCCCTGGGTCTCCCACGCGGGTGCAGCGGCCCAAGGACTTGGGCCATCTTCTATTGCTTTCCCAGGGCATAGCAGAGAGCTGGATTGGAAGTGGAGCAGCTGGGTCTTGAAGTGGCACCCATATGGGATGCAGGTGCTTCAGGCCAGGGCGTTAACCCACTGTGCCACAGCACTGGCCCCTGGGAATATATCACTTCAAGCAGATTCTCTAAGGTATCTGTGACTTAGAAAGCTTAAAACCATTGGATCTGAATGGCCAGTTTTTCTATAAAACTTTTTTTTTAAAGATTTATTTTATTTATTTGAAAGGCAGAGTTAGAGAGAGAGAGAGAGAGAGAGAAATCTTCCATCCACTGGTTTACTCCCCAAATCCCAAATGGCTGCAATGCCAGAGCTGGGCCAGGTTGAAGCCAGGAGCCAGGAGCTTCCTCTGGGTCTCCCACTTGGGTACGGGGGCCCAAAGACTTGAGCCATATTCCACTGCTTTCCCCGGCAGTGAGCTGGATTGAAAGTAGAGTAGCTATGTCCCAAACTGGTGCCCACATGGGATGCTGGCATTGCAGACTGCAGCTTAATCCATTATGCTACAATGCTGGCCCAATCTGTAAAACTTTTCATAAAAGGCTTTAGATGAAATATCCATCTAAAAGTAATCATGACCACTATCATAAGGACAAATTTTAGATTTTGCTTTTCTTCTTGATAAGTTGGCATCGATTTTTTGGGAGGTGGAAGCTCTTTATGTTGCCTTTTTTCACTTTTTTTTTTTTTTTTTTTTTTTTTTTTAAGATTTATTTACTTGAAAGGCAGAATTGCAGAGAGTGAGCAAGGGGGGGGGGGGGGGGTCTTCTAACCATGGATTCATTCCCAAATTGGCCACAATGGCCCAGGCTGAGCCAGGCAGAAGATGGGATCCAAGAACTTCTGGGTCTCCCATATGGATGGCAGGAGCCCAGTCACTTGGGCCGTCCTCCACTGCTTTCCCAGGCACATTAGCAGAGAGCTGGATCATAAGTGGAGCAGCTAGTACTCACACCAGCCCCCATATAGGATGCCAGTGTTGCAGATGGTAACTTTTACTCACTACCCCATAGTGCTGACCCCCCTTTTTTCCTTTTTTAAAAAAAATTTTATTTGAAATGTAGAGTGATTTTGAAATGTAGAGGAGGAAGGGCAGAGAAAAGAGATCTTCCATTCACTCCCCAAATGTCTGCAACAGCCAGGACTGAGCTAGGCTGAAACCAGGAGTCAGGAACTCCATCCAGGTCTCCCATATGGGTGGTAGGGCTCCAAAATCCTGGGCCATCATCATTCTCTGCCTTCCTGGGCACATGAGCATGGAGGTGGATCAGAAGCTGAGCAGCCAGGACTCAAACCAGCACTGCAATATGGGATGTTGACTTCGCAAGCCAAGACAGACTTAACCTGCTGTGTCATACTGTCAGCCCCCCTTTTCTTTTTTTTAAAAAAAAATTTTTTTTTTTTTGACAGGCAGAGTGGACAGTGAGAGAGAGAGACAGAGAGAAAGGTCTTCCTTTGCCGTTGGTTCACCCTCCAATGGCCGCCGCGGCCAGCGCGCTGCGGCCGGCGCACCGCACTGATCCCATGGCAGGAGCCAGGTACTTATCCTGGTCTCCCATGGGGTGCAGGGCCCAAGGACTTGGGCCATCCTCCGCTGCACTCCCTGGCCACAGCAGAGAGCTGGCCTGGAAGAGGGGCAACCGGGACAGAATCCAGCACCCCGACCGGGACTAGAACCCGGTGTGCCGGCGCCGCTAGGCAGAGGATTAGCCTAGTGAGCCACGGCGCCGGCCAGTCCCCCTTTTCTCTGTTTTAATTAGCGTTTTGCATTTGATAACATTTAAAAGAGTAATTTACAAATTTAAAAATCCCATAAGGCGTTTTGTGAAAAATCTCAGCCCTTTGCACTTTCCTCTGATTTTCTTTGCTTTACAAGCATCTGTTTTCAACTTGGTCAAATGATTCTTTGGGTAGTTACTTCGGTGTTTCTCTGTTATGTGTATATGTTGTTACTTTGCTGGTTTTTTTTTTTTTTCAGTTTAGACATAATATGTTCACTTTTACTATGGAAGTTAAGGATTTATCTCTTCTTCCTACTGTTTCTCACCTCTTTCCCTATACCTTCTCTGCTCCCCATTCTCTGAAAATGATTATACCATAATTTTGTTACATGAGTATTCAGTGTTTTCATTAAGAGCATATAAACACTGTTCACAGGTGAGCTTTCCTTAAACAATTTTTATTTGCCATGGAATAATAACTGTCGGTTTTGTTTGTTTTAGATTTATATATGTATTTACCACTAATTCAATCCATGCTCTCTGTTATTTGTTTAAATCTCATTATGGTTAGATGCATCAGATATTCTGTCAAATTTCATCGGCTTGAGGAGAGCTGTCCTACTTCAGTCTGGGATGGTTGCCCTTCACAAATCGAGCACAGCTATCATCTTGGAGTCTCCATCACCTTCCTGGGGATATCTTTTGCTTCGTACCTGTGCCGGATTCCCTGTTTCCTGGATCCCATCTTTTTTTTTTTTTTTTTTTTCTTAGTTTACTTTCTCCTTCCCAGGAAAAGGGTGCATAGGTGATACATGTATTTTTGAGATTTTACATTGTTTGGAAATGTGTTCAATCTCCTTTTCTACCTAATTGGTAATTTGGATAGAAATGGGATTTTACATTGGAAATCATTATCCTTCATAAATTTGAAGCATTGTTGCATTGAAACTTCCAGTAGTTTTCTTAAAAATCCAAACTGCTTCAAATTTTTAGTCTTATTGGATATGACCTTTTTATCTTCCCTCTCTGGAAGCTTTTAGGATTTTTTCTCTTTATCCACACTTTTTAAATTTTATGATAATGTACCTTATTTAATGTGTATTTTCATCCCATTAAGCTGAGTATGCAGTGGCCCTTAAATCTAAAAACTATTTAATTCTGGGGAATTTGCTTTATTTCATTAATTTGCACCCTTCTGTTTTTTCTATTCTCTCTTCATGTAACTTCTGTTTGTTTGGGAATGTACTTCCTGGACTTTTCTTACTGTGTGCTGGTTTTGTTTTTTTTTTTTAAATTTTATTTATTTATTTATTTGAAAGTCAGAGCTATACACAGAGAGAAGGAGGAGCAAAGAGAGAGAGTGAGAGAGGTCTTCCATCCACTGGTTCACTCCCCAGTTGGTCTCAATGGCCAGAGCTGCACTGAACCAAAGCCAGGATCCAGGAGCTTCTTTCAGGTCTCCACGTGGGTGCAAGTCCTTGGGCCATCTTCTACTGCTTTCCCAGGCCATAGCAGAGAGCTGGATCAGAAGTGGAGCAGCCAGGACTAGAACTGGCACCCACATGGGGTGCCAGCGCTGCAGGCACACGCTATGCCACAGTGCCGGCTCTTACTGTATGCTTTTGTTTTGTTTTGTTTTGAAGATTTGCTTATTTTTATTTGAAAGTTAGAATTACGAGAGAGAGCGAAAGAGGGAGAGACAGAAAGAGAGGGAAGCTTCCTTCTGCTGGTTCATTTCCTAGGTGGCTGAAACAGCCAGTGCTGGGCTATGTGGAAGCCAGGGTCCAGGACCTTCTTCCAGGTCTCCCATATGGGTGCAGGGGCCCAAACACTTGGGCCATATTCTGCTGCTTTTCCCAGGCTCTGAGCTGGATTGGAAGTGGAGCAGCAAGGACATGAACTGGTGCCCATATGGGATGCCCGTCTCACAGGTGGTAGCTTTATGTGCTGTGTCATGATGTGGCCCCTCTTGGTATCTGGTTTCATTCAAGTCTAATTTGCCTTGCTTTGAGAAACATTAATAAATTGTGAATAGAATGATAAAAAAATTTACATGGGAATAGTTGAAGAATAGGCTTAATTATCTTCTCAAGCAGAGTTGTCAAATTTTTTTCTGTCAAGGGACAGATATTATATGTATAGACTTTGTAGGGCACATGGGCTGTTATAACTACTCAACTCTGTTGTTATAGCGTGAAAGTAACCATAGACCATACATACAAAAATAAGTGTAGCTGTTTTTTTATGAAATCTTATTACAAAAGCAGACACAAACTGGGTCTTTGGCCCATGGTCCTTGGGTTTACAGATCCCTACCCTTAAGATCCATATTAAAACATGAGGTAGATAATAGATTTGTTGTTCTGGAACAATGAATTAGAAGCTTATAGATTTCAACAGAAGGGTAAATTTTCTTATATAACTGTCCAAAGATAAAATTAGTGAATTTTGAGTTCTTTGATATGGTAGGTATACAAAGAAAATGAAGACAAGGATATTACAGAAATAATCTCAGGTCCTTTTTCTAGCTCTAAGAGTCTTATTGTTATTTGTTTTGAAAATGTTAGTGTTATTTTATAACAAGGTTACATGTTTTATGTAGTATATATCTTGATAAAATGGTATTAATTTTAGACAAGTTCTGTTTTTCTAGATTACCATGTTTAGCTTATCTTTACTAACATTAACAGGATAGCAGGCTTGGGACTGGTGCTGTTGTATAGTGGGTAAAGCCACTGCCTATGATGTGGGCATCCCATATGGATGCCAGTTTGAGCCCCAGGTTCCACTTCTGATCCAGCTTCCTGCTAATTGTGCCTGCAAAGGCAGCAGAGGATGACCCAATGCTTGGGTCCCTGCACCCATGTAGAAGACCTGAAAAAGGCTCCTGGCTCCTGACTTCAGTTTGGCCCAGTCCTAATCATTGCTGCCATTTGGGGCATAAACCAGTGAATAGAAGATCTCTCTCTCTCTCTCTCTCTCTCTCTCTCATAAGTAACTCTGCCTTTCAAATAAGTAAAATAAATCTTTTTTTAATTCCATTTTCTCATAAACTTAAATTTTTTTAAAAGATTTGTTTATTTGAAAGGTGGAGATACAGAGAGAGAAGTAGAGACAGAGACAGAGACATCTTCTATCTGCTGGTTCACTCCCCAGATGGCTGCAATAGTTGGAGCTGGGCTAAGCTGAAGCCTGGAGCTTCATCTGTGTCTTCCCCATGGGTAGTAGGGGTCCAAGTACTTGGGCCATTTCCCACTGCCTTCCCAGATACACCAGCAGGAATCTGGGTCAGAAGTAGGGCAGCCAGGACTCAAACCAGTGGCCCATATGGAATGCCAGCATTGCAGGTGGTAGCCCAACTTGATGTACCAAAATACTACTCACCCCCAACTTAATGTATTTATTAGAGACAGAGAAGCAAAGACAGGAAAAGCCCCAGCCTGTTGGTTCACTCCCCAAATGCCTACCACCACTGGAGTTGGGAAAGGGCTAAAGCCAGAGCTGGGAACTCAATCCTTATCTTCCATGTGGGTGGCAGAAATCCAATTATTTGAGCCATCCCTGCTGCCTTCCAGGGTCTGCATTGCCAAGAAGCTGGAATCAGGAATTAGCTGGGAATGACCCAGGTTCTCTGATGTAGTGCAGGGGCATCCCAACTAACATCTTAATGCTACGCTAATTGTCCATCCCACCCATGAAATTTTGTAAAGCCCTCTTGTATTTCTAGCATGTATGCTACTGCTGAAAGTTACTTCATAAAAAGATTAGAAAGAAGACTAGTTCATTAAAAAGATTAGAACTTATAAAGAGAAGTTAGATTAATATAGCTGTAATTATATAATACTTGATTTCCACCCAATCTCCACTTCTAAGGTTAAACATTTTTTTCTTAATCTGATGACTCAGATAGCTTTGTACTGGATTATTTGTAGACTTATTTGTATAAGGAATTAAATAAACAGAATCAGAACCTCAAACTGTTTTCATATGACCTGCTATCCTACTTAACTGAGTAAATTTTCCCTCTCTGGGAAAATAGGTGAAATATTCATTGCTAACATTTTCAAAGCTCCAGTCCACACAAACTATACAGGCTGTTTCAAATGTAAATATATAATATTAATATTGTTCTTTAGAAAAACCACCGGCACCATCACAAGTACAATTGATCAAAGCCACTACCAACTCATTTCATGTCAAGTGGGATGAAGTGCCTACGGTTGAGGGGTATCTTTTGCAGTTAAACACAGACTTGCCATACCAAGCTCCATCGTTAGATTCTTCAGCTGCACTGAATATGCCAGGTAAGATAACTTTCATGCTTAAAGAAAATATGTGTGCTCATATGCTGCTTAAAAAATATGCAGTCAAGAAGTGGTTAATAATCTTTTTTTTTTTTTAAGAATTGTTTATTTTATTTGAAAATCAGAGTTACATAGAGAGAGAAGGAGAGGCAGAGAGAGAGAGAGAGGGAGGTCTTCCATCCAATGGTTCACTTCCCAATTGGCCGCAACAGCCGGAGTTGTGCCAATCTGAAGGCAGGAGCCAAGAGCTTCTTTCAGGTCTCCCATGAGGGTACAGGAGACCAAGGACTTGGGCCATCTTCTACTGCTTTCCCAGACCATAGAAGAGAGCTGAATCAGAAGTGGAGCAGCCAGGACTCGAACTGGCGCCCATATGGGATGCCAGCACTGCAGGCAGCAGCTTTACCCGCTTTGCCACAGCGCCAGCCCCCAATAACCTTGTTTTAATCAGACATGATTGCCTAGTCTATCAAATATGTTGAATTTCAACTCTGAAACTTGGCTATTTACCATTATGCTATAGTAGAAAACACAAACATGTAGGATATAATTTTTTTTCTGGAGTTCATTTTGATACACTTTTTAAATTTTTTTTTTCTATTTTTTGCCAGGCAGAGTTAGACAGTGAGAGACAGACAGAGAGAGAATTATAGACAGCGAGAAAGAGACAGAGAGAAAGGTCTTCCTTCCATTAGTTCACTCCCCAAATGGCCACTACAGCCGGTGCTGCGCCAATCTGAAGCCAGGAGCCGGGTACTTCCTCCCGGTCTCCCATGTGGGTACAGGGACACAAGCACTTGGGCCATCCTCCGCTGTCCTGGGCCACAGCAGAGAGCTAGCTAGACTGGAAGAGGAGCAACCAGGACTAGTACCTGGCGCCCCAACCGGGACTAGAACACAGGGTGCCAGCGCCGCAGGCGGAGGATTAGCCAAGTGAGCCACGGCGCCAGCCCTACTTTCTTAATTTGATATATAAAACTTTAGGAGATGTTTTTAATTAGCTTTCATAAATATTTCAGTTTTACTTCCAAAGTATTTTTAAGTAAACAGGTAGTTGGAAAGTAAAAGCAAATTTAATTTTATACATTTTTCCAAAGAGGTTTTCAGTCAATTCTTAAGCAAACTATTAAGAAAACAGAAAAACTTTCATAAAGATAATACTATTTTAATTTTTAAATTGTAACTTTAAAAAAAATTGACTGTAATACATTATATTTAAGTTAGTTAAGAATATATCAGTCTGAACTTTCTCATTCTTACAGGAGTCAGGATGGACCCCTACAGACAAGGCACTAATAACATCATTCCGAACAGTGTAAGTTAAAAAATTAATGATGTAAATGAATGTGTATGGTTACAACCATAATTTTCATTAAGAATTTTAGCATTTTACTTTAGGTCAGGGGTCCTCAACCCTGGCTGCATACCAGAATTTGAGTCCTTCCTCAGATTGAGTGAAATAGAATTTTTAGGATGATGTCCAGGCACCTGTCTTTAATGCAGCTTCACAGACCATTGTGACAGTGGCTTGAACTGAGATTCCTGCTCCAATACACATAACAGCAGAGGCTATTTCATCATAATTTATACTTACATATCTGTATTTTGACACTTTAAAATTTCACATACACTCTTATTTTAAATTTCTAAAGATGTGCATTAAAATGTGTATGAAATATATTGTTTTTTAAATTATTTATTTATTTGAAAGCAGAGAGAGATCTTTCATCCACTGGTTCACTCCCCAAATGCCTGCAAAAGCTAAGGCTGGGCTAGGCTAAAGCCAAGATCCTGAACTTAGTCCCTTCTGCCTTCCATGGTACATATTAGCAGGTGGGAAGTGGAGCTGGTCTTGAACCCAGGGATTCTGATATGGGATGGGAGTGTCCTAAGTAGCAACTTAACCGCTGCACTAAACACCCACTGTTGGCATATATTCTTCACTGTATTTTATTTACCAGAGAATATCACTTTCTAAATAAATCACCTGTGTAAGTGATTTCTTTTTTTTCTTTTTTTAAAAGATTTATTTTATTTATTTGAAAGACAGAGTTACAGAGAGGTAGAGCCAAAGAGAGAGGTCTTCCATCTGCTGGTTCACTCCCCAAATGACTGCAACACCCAGAGCTAAGCTGATCTGAAGCCAGGAGTCAGGAGCATCTTCCTGGTTTTCTATGTAGGTGCAAGGGCCCAAGTACTTGGGCCAACTTCCACTGCTTTCCCAGGTCACAGCAGAGAGCTGGATTGGAAGTGGAGCAGTTGGGATTCGAACTGGTGCCCCCATGGGATGCCGGTGCTGCAGGCCAAGGCTTTAACCCATTGTGCCACAACACAGGCCCTGAAGTTATTTCTTGTTTATTTCTGTGTTTATAGACCACAATAGATCTGTGTGGAGACTAATGAATAAGCTTACTAAGATTGATTTTTTTTTCTATCAAATTTCTGTCTACATTACTAGCCTCTTTGCAAGGAAAGGGATGTAGGTATAAGCTAACCTGTTCTGAGCATGATGGAGGACCAGTAATAATGCAGGAAGGAGTACTGCAAGTAAAACATGTACAGTTTGTTTTTGAGTAACCTATTTTAAGACATATTTATGATGTGCATCTATGTATATATGTTATATGTGTGTGTATGTTTTAAGGTTTACGATGGGAAATAATAGTTTCCTACTTTATCCCTAGATCCCTACTCCCTAGAAGTACCTACCTTAAACTACTTCAGCTTTCTTTTAATATTTGACCAACTACTAAATAAAATCCTTAATGCTGTCATTGCTTGATTTTCTAACTTTAGATCAATTATATTCAGTAATGGAAGATAAAGATTTGATGATCTCTTAAAATATTTTCTCATCCCCTCCCCACCCATTTATCTTTTGCTGGTGACATAGTTATAGATGAGCTATGTAGTATGTCATGATTCTGTGTTTTTCCTGTTGTTAATACTGCCTCCTGTTTTCATTTGCAGCAAAATTATTAAAATTCCTCTCAAAATATTCAAACATGCAAGGTAGTTTTCTTTATTTTCTTTTTTCTCTTGGAAACTTTCTTCCTGGGTCCCTCTGTCTTCATACCCTGGTCTCTAACGGTTCTTTTCTAGGCCTGCTGCATAGCCATCATCTTACAACTTCCATTTGTATCATAGTAGGAAGTTCTTTTATTTCTTTCCTGTGTTAAAACCTGTGATTCTTGGCCTCCTTTCTCTTTTTTTCCCCCAAGATATTCAAAACTTTAATTTTTTTAAATATTTATTTATTTGAAAGAGTTACACAGAGAGAGGAGAGGCAGAGAGAGAGAGGTCCTCCATCTGATGGTTCACTCCCCAATTGGCCACAACGGCCGGAGATGTGCTGATCTGAAGCCAAGAGCCAGGAGCTTCTTCTGGGTCTCCCATGTGGGTGCAGGGGCCCAAGGACCTGGGCCATCTTCCACTGCTTTCCCAGGCCGTAGCAGAGAGCTGGATTGGGGGAGGAGCAGCCGGGTCTCGAACCGGTGCCCATATGGGATGCCGGCGCTTCAGGCCAGGGCATTAACCTGCTGCACCACAGTGCCAGCCCCCAAAACTTTAATTTTAAAAAATTGCCTTTATGGATAATTTAAAAGTCTCAGAAAGCTCCTTTGCTCTCCACCCAAGAATTCAAAATGATATACAGCAGCACAAATTCATTTTAAAAGAACATTATTAAAAAGGAAGAAGATGGTATCCACAGACATAAGTCCAACTTGTAAGAAGTAGTGCAATCCTGGGCTGGCGCCGAGGCTCACTAGGCTAATCCTCTGCCTTGCAGTGCCGGCACACCGGGTTCTAGTCCCGGTCGGGGCGCCGGATTCTGTCCCGGTTGCCCCTCTTCCAGGCCAGCTCTCTGCTGTGGCCCGGGAGTGCAGTGGAGGATGGCCCAAGTGCTTGGGCCCTGCACCCCATGGGAGACCAGGATAAGTACCTGGCTCCTGCCATCGGATCAGCGCAGTGCGCAGGCCGCAGCGCGCTGGCCGTGGCGGCCATTGGAGGGTGAACCAACGGCAAAGGAAGACCTTTCTCTCTGTCTGTCTCTCTCTCACTGTCCACTCTGCCTGTCAAAAAATTAAAAAAAAATAAAAATAAAAATAAAAAAAAAGAAGTAGTGCAATCCTTACATAGTCAGAGTCCCAATGTTAGTAAGGTTGCCTTAACCACCAGAATTTATAGCTTAATTCCTCCACTTAAGACCAAGGAAAAGTTACAACTCCTCCAAGGGTAACACTGTTCTTGAATGATGGCCCTGGATGAGTCCCAAAATTTTCTACTTGACATGTTGAATTTTTCTTTTCCACTGGCCCTCTGAATGTTTCTTCAAATGCACTACCATTATTTTCTACTTCTTTTGATGTGAAGGTAAATGAAAATTTTCTTTGGATAGAGCATGATATTGGGACATGACTTCTGACCTTTAGAAATACTGGTTCATATGAAACTGAACTCTCAATAAGAATACCCCAAAGGCATTCATATTTCCTGATGCTACAAGAAGTAAGCATATAGATGAACTCAAAGTAACTAGACAACACTCTGCTTACAGGGTAGCCAGTTCCAAGAGAGAGCTTATAAGCCTGTGGATGCAGTTCATCCACAAAAGGTGCCCGTCTAACTTTGACCCGGAGCCAGAATTCAGTACAGGCTACAAACAAGTCTTGCAAACTATGAGCAGACACAAGAAGCAGGAGGTGCCCTCCTAGCACATCAAAGATCTTCATGGCTTCCAGATCCTGAACCAAAGTGTCACAAGAAGCAGGAAATCCCTTGGCCTCATTTCTGTTGTCTTCCCTTGCTTTCTTATGATAGTCCCATCAGCAGTTTCCTGAGAATGAGTTCATGAGAGGTAAACTTTTTTGAGATCTTGTATATCTGAAAATGTCTTCAGTCTGCTCACATTTTGTTGATAATTTAGCTGGATTATGGAATTCTGTATTGGAAACATTACTCTCATAAATATGAAGGCATTTTCCTGCTGTCTTTTAGTATTTGGTGTTGCTGTTGAAAAGTCTAATGCCACTCGGATTCTCGATCATTTATATAAGACCTCTTTTTATCCCTAGTATTCTGAAATTTCAACAATGATATGCTTTAGAGTATGTCTATAGTATGTCTTTGTTTCTTGTCTTGACAGGCAGAGTGGACAGTGAGAGAGAGACAGAGAGAAAGGTCTTCCTTTGCCGTTGGTTCACCCTCCAATGGCCGCCGCTGCAGCCGGCGCACTGCGCTGATCCTGGCAGGAGCCAGGAGCCAGGTGCTTTTCCTGGTCTCCCATGGGGTGCAGGGCCCAAGCACCTGGGCCATCCTCCACTGCACTCCCTGGCCATAGCAGAGAGCTGGCCTGGAAGAGGGGCAACCGGGACAGAATCCGGCGCCCCAACCGGGACTAGAACCCGGTGTGCCGGCGCCGCAAGGTGGAGGATTAGCCTATTGAGCCACGGCGCCGGCCTTAGAGTATGTCTTTTTTAAGTTCTTTTTCTTTAAACATTTTTTAGTCTCTTTAGTACAAGTCAAAACACATTTTTGTTACATATCATTTTAACAAGTTTAACATTCTTTTCAATACTGAATGATCCAATCTGGATAACTTTAAAACTCCCTTTTCAAAAACAATATTGGGTTTTAGAAGGAAACAAGTTATCAGTAAGGTACGTGAGTCCACAGGCTATTGTTTTTCATTATTTTAGAGCATTCTCTCCACCTTAAAATTTAGTCCATATATATATACATATATATATTTCTCCTATAACAAAATAAATTAAACCTTATAATTAAAAAAATAACAATCAGAAATATTTGGCATAGGCCTCTGAGTGATCTTGAGAAATAAGTTAGGATATGTTTTAAGTATGAGAAGGGGGCCGGCGCCGCGGCTCACTAGGCTAATCCTCCGCCTAGCGGCGCCGGCACACCAGGTTCTAGTCCCGGTCGGGGCGCCGGATTCTGTCCCAGTTGCCCCTCTTCCAGGCCAGCTCTCTGCTATGGCCAGGGAGTGCAGTGGAGGATGGCCCAGGTGCTTGGGCCCTGCACCCCATGGGAGACCAGGAAAAGCACCTGGCTCCTGGCTCCTGCCATCGGATCAGCACGGTGCGCCGGCCGCAGCGCGCTGGCCGCGGCGGCCATTGGAGGGTGAACCAACGGCAAAGGAAGACCTTTCTCTCTGTCTCTCTCTCTCTCACTGTCCACTCTGCCTGTCAAAAATAAAAAAAATAAAAAACAAACAAACAAACAAAAAAAAAAGTATGAGAAGGAACATGTAGAATTACCTAGAACTACATGGCAGGACAATTGGACTACTGCCTC